TGCTCCTGGGCGAGGGTAGGCAACGGGCTGGGGAGCCGGGTGGGGGTCTCGGGGCCGCCGGGTCGGGGCCAGGGTCGGGCTGGAGTGGGGAGGGGGCGCGGCGATCGTGGCCATGCGCTGACCGCGCCGCCCCGCGCAGCCCAGGTGGGAAAGACGTCGCTGATCCTGTCGCTCGTGGGCGAGGAGTTCCCCGCGGAGGTAAGAGGCGAGCGTGGCCGCAGCCCTCGGTGCCCGTCCCCCGGCCTCCGGCCGCCCTCACGCCGCGTCCCCTGCAGGTCCCTCCCCGCGCTGAAGAGATCACCATTCCTGCAGACGTCACCCCGGAGAAGGTGCCCACCCACATCGTGGACTACTCAGGTAGAGCGGGCCGCCCGCGCTTCGCCCTGGGGGATGGGGGCAGGCATTCGGGCAGGTTCCACAGTCAGGGTCTTTTCCTCTGCAGAAGCCGAGCAGACCGCCGAGGAGCTCCAGGACGAGATTCAGAAGGTACAGTGTCCTGAGGGCTGAGCCTCGGCTGCCGCCTCCCAGGGATTAGGTTAAGGTGCTCAGGGTGCCTGAGGCCTTGCTAATTCCTGTCATGATCTTTCAGCGCTGCTACTTGTCAGGTTCCTTGGGCTCACCCTGCAGGGACCTGGGGAGGAGAGGGACCGTGCTTCCCACACGGCCGGTCAGCTCCATGGCTCTGTGCACCCGTTGTTTGCCCTTCCAAAGTGATCCTTACCCAGCTCTGTGCCTTGGCTACCTGTACTGCTATCCCGTAGTCCAGTGCAGTGCTCTGAGCTGGACTGTAGCGGGTGCCCTGCTTATCTGTTATCAGGAAGATCTGCGCCTGAACCGAGCTCCCCGGGGAGCCTCTGCTGTGTCCTGGGGCATCGCTGGGCCAGGGTAAAGGCCACAGCTACCCAGCCTTCTTGTCACCATCATCCCTTGTGGTGTTTTCCTTGTCACTCACTCTGCCTGAAATGACACGGGAACGCAGGGCTGGGGCCAGGGTGCCAAGTTCTAGGGGTGGCGCTGTTTGTCCTGAGCCTTCCAGGGGACCCGCCAGAGCTGCCATGCTCAGTCCTTGCGGCTCCAGTGGAAGAGGACAGGGGAAGACTTGTCAGGTTGAAGCAGCTGATGGTGGCTGGGGTACATTGGCTGGAGGGGTGCTAAAGAGGGGTGGGGTTCTAAGGTGTCTGGCCTTATCAAGGGCGGCGTGGAGCAGGAAGCCTGTGGTCATGCCGTGCCTCACCCCCTTTCCCACAGGCAAACGTGGTGTGTATGGTGTACGACGTGTCTGAGGAGGCCACCATTGAGAAGGTGAGGGCAAGAGCTCCTTCTGCACCCCAGGTCCTTGTTGCTGGCACCTAGCTCCGTGTTGTCCTCTGAACAGACTCCAGATGGACACCCAGCTGACCGAGGCTCTGGGTACTGGGGGCCTGTATGCAGGACCCCCACAGCTTCCCCAGGGAGCTCCTGTGGCCCTGCCTCCCCACAAAGTACGTGGGTGGTTAGAAGTCTGAACTATTCAGGCCTGTGGAAGGGGCTGTTTTAGGCTGCTGAGTCCGGGCCACTTGGGGGTGTTTGGGAACTGCTAGGATCAGATGAGGCCCCACCTGCTGACTGTTCTCTGCAGGTGGCCACAATTCCCAGTGCCCAGGACTTTGTTCCTCAGTGGGCCTTGACCTCCCCACGTCCAGGCACGAGTTCCAGGAGGGAGCCGTGAAGACAGGCAGGCCCCTGTCCTCACGGCTAGCCCTTGCTTTTCAGATACGAACCAAGTGGATCCCACTGGTGAATGGGGAGACTGAGAGGGGCCTCAGGTAATGGGCAGGGCCCAGGGGGGGTGGGCCCCGCCAGCTCCCCATCCATGGTGACCATAGGCCTTTCCTCCAGAGTCCCCATCATCCTGGTGGGCAACAAGTCGGACCTGCGGCCGGGGAGCTCGATGGAGGCTGTGCTGCCCATCATGAGCCAGTTCCCTGAGATCGAGACGTGCGTGGAGGTGTGTGGGCGGGTGCCCATGTGCCGCTGGCCTCAGCTGCGGGCCTGCGGGCCTCCCCAGGTCTCCTGGAAGACACCCCATGCCTGCCTTTTGTGGGGGGCCCCTTTGAGTTTTGTGGTACTGGTCACGTGTCTGAGTCTGTCCCTGTGGTCACCAGTGCTCTGCCAAGAACCTGAGGAACATCTCGGAGCTATTCTACTACGCGCAGAAGGCAGTGCTGCACCCCATGGCCCCGCTCTACGACCCCGACGCCAAGCAGGTGGGCGGCAGGCACCGGGGAGGTGGCCAGGCCGGTGGGAGCGGTGGCGTGGGGTTCGTACTGAGCTGGCTGTCCCTGCAGCTGAGGCCCGCGTGTGCCCAGGCCCTCACGCGCATCTTCAGGCTCTCAGACCAGGATCTAGACCAGGCGCTCAGTGACGAGGAGCTCAACGCTTTCCAGGTGCGGCTCCCTCTGCTGGCGCTGCCCGTCCTTTGAGGGCACAGCCTCAGGTACTCTTAGTGACGCTGAGCAGTCACTGAGGCGGCTGGCTGGCTGATGGCGACTTTCCCTCGGGGGCAGAAATCCTGCTTTGGGCACCCACTGGCCCCTCAGGCCCTGGAGGATGTGAAGATGGTGGTGTGCAAGAACGTGGCAGGAGGTGTGCAGGATGATAGGCTGACCCTGGACGGTGAGTCCTGATGCCTTGCCGTGCCCTGGGAGCAGGAAGAGGTCCAGGCTGTGCTCGGTGCTACTTGTTCTTTTGTTTCTTTCGGAACAGGCTTTCTTTTCTTGAACACACTGTTTATCCAACGGGGGCGCCACGAGACCACGTGGACCATCTTGCGACGCTTCGGCTACGGAGACACGCTGGAGCTGACCCCTGACTACCTTGTCCCACCGTGAGTGGTGGGTGGGGCTTAGCCTCCCTTCTCAGTGTCAGGCGGGTGCCTGGGGGCTCTTGGACCCGCAGTGGGGGCCCTTGGGATTGGGCCTCGACGGCCTTTCTAGGAGCAGCCTCGCTGTGGGTGGTCAGGATAGGACGAAGCAGATGGCCCCCTGCCCCAAATGCCTTCCTTTCTGCCCTCCTGCCGTGGTGCTCGGCTGAGGGGGCAGTGCAGGAGCCTCCCTGTGCCGAGACAGAGACACGGGAGGTGTGGGGGGCCTGGCGGGCAAGGGGCTCCCCTGGGAACCGGACAGCCCCTACATCCCCCACAGGCTCCACGTGCCCCCAGGCTGCAGCACCGAGCTCAACCACTTTGGCTACCAATTTGTGCAGAGGGTGTTTGAGAAGCATGACCAGGTAAGGGAGTCATGACCTCCACCCTGCACCGCCCCCGATCCCGCCAGCCTCCAGGTACGTGTCACCGCGGCCCCTCTGCCCCCAGGACCGTGATGGCTGCCTCTCGCCTGCAGAGCTGGAGAGCTTCTTCAGCGTGTTCCCCACTGCTCCCTGGGGCCCCCAGCTGCCTCTGGAGGTCTGCACCGAGGCTGGCCGGCTGTCTCTGCATGGGTACCTCTGCCAGTGGACGTGAGTTCAGCCCCTGCCCGCGGCAACACTGCCTGTGCTGGCCGCTCGGCCGTGACCCCATCCCTCCCGCCCCCAGCCTGGTGACCTACTTGGACATCCGGCGCTGTCTTGAGCACCTTGGTTACTTGGGCTACCCGACCCTCTGCGAGCAGGACTCCCAAGCCCACGCCATCACAGGTGGGTGCCCGCCCCCGCCCTGAGCCCAGCTCCTCCCTGGCAGCCCCCTTGGTCACACTCACTCCGGCTGTCCATCCCCAGTCACTCGTGAGAAGAGGCTGGACCAGGAGAAGGGGCAGACGCAGAGGAACGTTTTCCTGTGCAAGGTGGTGGGAGCCTGCGGAGTGGGCAAGTCTGCCTTCCTGCAGGCCTTTCTCGGCCGCAGCCTGGGGGTGAGCATCTGCAGGGGGGCGGGGGGCGCCTCTGGGCAGTGTCCGGGCCAGCAAGCTTCAGGCGCCTCCCTCCTCCGCACCAGGATACCAGGGAGTTCGCTGAGGAGCGTGCCGTTTATGCCGTCAACACGGTGCAGGTCAACGGGCAGGAGAAGTACCTGATAGTGAGTGCTGGGGTCCCCAGGATAGACACTGGGTCTGCGCTGGGGGGCCTGTCTCAACGTGGCCTACAGGGCTGACCTTGCACCCCTCCCTGAGGCCACTCTTTGTCTAGCTGTGTGAGGCGAGTGCAGACAGCCTGCTGACCACGGAGCCCAATGCCACCTGTGACGTGGCCTGCTTGATGTTCGATGGCAGCGACCCCGGGTCCTTCGTGCTCTGCGCTGACGTCTACAAGGCAAGGCACCCCGCGCCCCATCCCTGGTCCCTCTGGGGCAGTCCGTGTGCCTTGGCCGCCCGGGATGGCACCCTCATGCAGCCCCTCTCTCTGCAGCGCCACTACATGGATGGGCAGACCCCCTGCCTCTTTGTCTCCTCCAAGGCAGACCTGCCCGAAGGCATCTTGCCGCCTGGGCTGTCGCCCACGGAGTTCTGCCGCAGACACCGGCTGCCTGCCCCTGCCCCCTTCTCGTGTGTCGGCCAGACCAGACTCAGCACTGCTGTGTTCACCCGGCTCGCCGCCATGGCCGCTTGCCCGTGGGTACCTGCACCCAGCCCTGCGGTGGGAGGCCAGGCCCTGTCCAGGGAAGCAGTCATCCCTGTTGACCAGAGAGCAGGGCAGCTGTAGCGTGGGCCCAAGTCCCACTGGTGGCCCCGTGCGGGCAGAGCGCAGCCCCAGGAGGCGGGGTGGGGGCTCGGGCAGCGGCATCTGCCCCCAGCCAGCCTCTCTGTCCTGCAGACACCTGGCCCCTGGCGAGCTGCCCACCACCTCCTTCTGGCTGCGGGTGACGCTGGGGGCTGTTGGAGCTGCCGTCACTGCCATCCTCAGCCTCTCACTCTTCCGGGCCTTGCTGAAGAGCCGATGAGGCCTCAGGGGCCCCCAGGGTGCTGGTGTGGGGGCCACCTGCTCGAGGGGCCTGCCTTCTGTCTGGGGACACCTGGCTCGCCTCCCTGCCTGAGCCCCAAGGGCTGGCCTCCAGGTCCTGGTAGCCTGTGTCCCTACCCAGCTGCAGATGCCGAGCATCACCCGCGTTGGGTGTCATGTGTCGGAGGGAATGGGTGTCATGGGTGAGGAAGCCAGTGACCCCAGACCCAAGTATTCTCAGGGCTCCACTCCTTTCTGGTCCCAGGCAGTCAGTGGTCATGAAGGGGGTCAAAGGTGGGGGTGGGGGAAGGACGTGGTTGATATGGTCTCCCTCTCCTCCTTGGTTTGGAGATGGGCCCAGCGCCTCACCCCTCCCGGAAGACATGAGGTGGGGTCTCCTGATTAAAATTCACTTCTGTGTTTTGCACCTGGGATCCTGCTTTTTGAAGAGATGTTTCTTGAATCCACTAAAACACGTCCTTTGTCTCAGCATGGGCTGGAAACCTCAGTCCTGAGCCCCACACCTCCCCTCCAGGCCTGGGTCCCCATTCTGCGGTCTCCCTCGGGGCCCACCTGCTCTCTGGGAGCCACTGCATCCATCCAGGTCTGTGCTGGCCTGAGGGGTTCTGATACGCAAGACCCTTTTGATGGCTGCCCCGCCCCCCAGAGCTTAGCATCACAGTAGCCTGGCTGAGATGTGCTGAGGGTCTGGGACTTGGGGGCGGGACTGGGGTGTGCACAGATGCCCTGCTTCTGCGCGGGGTTGGCCTGGCCTGAGAAATCTGCCGTGTTTCCTCACACCCTGACCAGAGGCCTTGGCCCCTGGCACTGGGTGGGGACAGCCAGAGAGCCCCAGCCTGCAGGGTGGGGGAGCGAGAACCTTTCTTGGACTGAGGAGGGTGCCCAGCGTGGAGCCCGGGCGTCTACTCGGTGTGTGTTCTGGGGCCTGGAGCGGAGAACCTGCGGTGTGGCTGGGTGCTCCCTGTCTGCCATCAGCCCTTCTCTGCGAGGCAGCCTTCCCCAAGCTCCGAGGAGCTATTTGTAGGTTGGGGGAGCTCCCCGCCCCACAGGGATGCTCCAGCCTGACACACAAGTTCTGGGGTTGACCCTGAAGTTGTCCTTGCACCAGCCTCCCAGCCCTGCTGGCCCTGGTCCCGTGGGTGTGCTGCTCACCCGCTTTAGGGTGGCGCTGGATGCTCTTTTAGCCAGTGGTTCCGCCTGAGGCCCAGCTGCCCCAGTGTTGACTGTGGCATCAGGATTTTGAGTGGCCCTTGAGGGGCTTGCTGTTACAACACATCACCATGGTCTCTGTCATCTCCATCCCTGGAGGGGTCTGCTTGCCCTCCCCAGGAAGCAGGGACCCTTTCCTATCCCAGCTGCAGCCCTGTGCGTTGGGGTCTCTGCACCATCGTCCACGGGTCTGCCTAGGCTCCCCATGAACTCCCAGAACTGGAGGTCCCACTGTCCAGCATTGAGCCTGCAGGAGCGGTCCGGGGTCTCCAGTCCCAGGTGGGTGCTGTGGATTGGTGTCTGCGCGCTGAGTGGGGATGGCTGCACCAAGTCTCCCCCACGGATCCCTGCTAGTTGCCCTGTCGGCCTTGGTGCCCACATGATGGGACCTTGGTGCCTTGCTGCCAGCAAACAAGCATGTCTGGCAGGCAAGCTGGCACCTTCAGGGAACCCTGGCCTGAGTCAGGATCACAGGCAGTGAGGAGGTGGCCTCAGCGCTCAAGCCCCAAGCAGAGGGGCGCGCGAGGGAGGGAGCTGGGGTGGTATGCCGTGACTCAGTTTCCCAGCCGCTGTACCCGCTTGACGAGCGGCCCCAGCCTGGAACGGGAAGGCGGTGAGCCGGGCGGCGAGACCCAAGCTATGGTCGGGGCCGTTCCTTCCTGGGGCGCGTCCGCATGCGGAGCGCGCGCGTGTCCCGGCCGCGCGTGGCGGG